CTATTGACCTCACCCCTTTCCTAAGAGGTCTGTAGGGGGCGTGCATAAGCGCACCAACGTGCCTACCGTCCCTGTCCTATTGTTTCTCTTATTCTTTTATTTTTCTTATATGTGCCCATTTCATGTATTCACAACTATGTATACACTTATACTTATTATCTTGTAAACAATTGGCAAATCAAATAAATAAATAAATAAATAAATAAACTGTATGAATATCATCATCATCATTGGGAAAGGATGAGAAGATGGTGTGATTCCCATTATTGTGCATAGTGTTAGCAGACCAGAGTTGGTTGTTTTTTTTTTTTTCATTTGGGTTATGCACTTGAAAGGGAACAACGATGAGTGATAAAGCCCTTGCATAAATGTATAAATGTAAGATTACAGGCTGGAAACAGCTGCTCTGCAAGGAAAAACTGCAGCAAATGGGACGTTTTAGAACAGAGTAATAGAGAGTAATTATTGATATGATAATCTGTTGTATGGCATGGCAAGGAAGAGAAAAAGTTCTTTCTCACATGCTATAACTAAACGTGTCTATTGGAACTAAACGCAGGGAGATTCAGGACCAACGGAAGAAGATACATCACAGTCTAGTTCAATTGTGAAAATCCATGCCACTGGCAATTGTTTTCAGAGTCAATGACTGCAAGAACCAACCTGTCAGCCGATACTTATACTAGTGGTGGGATTCAATTTTTTTTTTTTACTATCGGTTCTGTGGATGTGGCTTGGCGGGCGTGGCAGGGGAAGGATATTGTAAAATCTCCATTCCCTCCTCACTCCTGGGGGAAGGTTACTGCAAAATCCCCATTCCCTCCCCATCCCATTAACCTGCTTTCCAGCTCCGTTCTCCTGTGCAAGGTAACCAAAGAAGACCCAGCCAATCAGCAGAGAATAGATGGGGTGGGGCCAGTCAGAGGTGGGATTTGCCGGTTCTCCAAACTACTCAAAATTTCCCCTACTGGTTCTCCAGAACTGGTCAGAACCTGCTGAATACCACCACTGATATTTACTATCTCCAGAATCCAAGGCTGTAGAAACCTTGACTAGTCTGCCTGGCTGGGGAATTTGGGAAGCTGAAGTCCACACCTTTTCTTTTTCTTTTTTCTTTTGGATGGGGTTCAGCACCATTTATTAAGAAAAAGAATTACAAGAACAGTCAAGGGAAGGAGGGTGGGAGAAGCAAAGAGAGATGAGCAAAAAGGGTCTCCAGGCTGCCTGCTCCAATCCTGGACACGCGCACTGCCTCAAAATGCCCAGGGCAACCAGACCCACATGAGAAGTGCGGGGCCCCGACTGAAGTAGAACCAAGCATCCCCAAGGCCTGAGGTGTTTGCTGGCCCCAGTGTGTGTGAGGGTTGGCTGGCAGGAAAGGACAAGGATGCCAGCGGTCAGCAATGCCAGCAGTCAGTTAGGCAAAACATCTTTTCTCCTTGGAAAGGAGAACCTCTTCTGGTTCTGACCCATATTTAAATGCTGGAATATTGCAATAGTGAATGGTGCTAGTACCTACCAGTCCAGTCCATATTGATGCCAAAGTAGAGGGGAACTAGCAACCTCACATCTGCTCTCCCTTACATGATTTTTTGAAGGAAGTTGTCTCTGACTAGAGGGCTAAAATGACTCACTAATTATAATAGAGCATTGGAATGAGATAGCTAATTGCATGTTTACATCTGATGCCTCTCAGCCAAGCTAATGCCAAGGAATTGTACTCTTCTGTATCTGCCTTAGATGATCTTCATTCTTTTCTAGCCATTCCGCAAAGGGACAGGGAAGGGAACTTATCCAGATGTTTGCATGTATTCCAAGAGCTCATTTCGTAGGATGTGGACCACTGCAGAGGGCAAAGAGCTTCCACTTCCAAATTTCTTCAGGCGTAGCTGTGCTTTGTCAACAGTTTGGTCATGAAGCAATTTGGATTTTAGGATCCCTGGAGGTTAAAATACAACAACAAAATTCCCTTTCCGCAAACCAATGCTTGTATGCAGGGAAAACAGAAACTTCTGCTCCTCAACTAAACCAGCAAAACCGAGCACCAAAAAATTCAGGAATTCTGCAATGCACATAAAAAAACTGATCGTTGTATGGCCAATACCTTGTTTTTTTTTTTTTTAACCATACTCTGAAGCAGAGGTGGTATTCAGCAGGTTCTGACCAGTTCTGGAGAACCAGTAGCGGAAATTTTGAGCAGTTTGGAGAACTGGCAAGTACCACCTCTGACTGGAGATTTTACAGTATCTTTCCCCTGCCACACCCACCAAACCACGCCCACAGAACTGGTAGTAAAAAAATTTGAATCCCACCATTGCTGTGAAGATGCCCAATAAGTTAAAAACCTGCACCCAGTATTTGCCTCCCTAATATTTTGCTATTACTTTTCAAAATAGTCATGGGATTCCAAAAATATGTGCTAAAAGTAAGAGTAAATTAAGCAAACAACAAAAGGGAGCCTCAAAGTTGCTTCTTTCAAGAGGCAACTGGACTTCCTTTGTTTTTCCTTGAAGACATTTCACTTCTCATCCAAGAAGCTTCTTCAGTTTTGACTGAATGGTGGAGAATGGAAGGATTTATATTCCTTACAATCACCTGTTGTTAGCACTCTTTCTGAGAGTAGTTGAGGCTATTTGGAGGTTTATCTGTGCCCTGAGGTGACCCTGAGGGCACAGATAAACCCCCAAGAAACTCTGGGAGTTGAAGTCCATACATCTTCAAGTTCTCAAGATTGAAAAACACTGTAATAACCCATCTAATACTCTAATTCAAGCCCACAGCATTCATCTCCAACTTTTAATTGCCTCAGTAAACAATCAGGAAAGAAATCATGAAGATTTGATGCTTGTTTTCCATGAGGATTTTTTTCCAGAAAATTCATAAAAAGCTATGATAGCTAAGAGTGTATCTATTCATACACATTCATTGGCTGACAAGCTTATCACTAAGTTCTAATGAGAAAAAGAAAGAAAGGAAGAAAGGAAGGAAGAAAGGAAGGAAGGAAGGAAGGAAGATCCCTTTGAGCCGAGGCCACATCACCCCTGGGAATCACCCCAATTCCATCTTCTGCTTGATAACTTCAGTGTCAGAAATGTTGACCCTTGACCCAGAAGATTAAAGAGGATAACACCTGGTCTTTTGCAAAACCATGGGATAAATATATCCTTTGTACTTGGTCTATAGCAACAATCCATTCTTGAATCCTCGGGGTAACTCAAACCATCCAGGCAGACATTGAATAGGGAAGAAGAAGGATGACCAAACAGGCATAGTATTGACTTCCAGGTTGATACAAAGCTCCTGAGAAAGGATCCAATTTGATGGACATGGCTATTGGATGTGACATTTTAGGATAGGTTGAACCATGATCTCAACCATGAGCAATCCAAATTCAAACTATTGAATAATGTAATTATAAATCATATTAGCTAGTTTGATCTAGCAGGAATGGCATGAAGATAGAAACCAAGAGACTGTAAGTTCTAGTCCTGTCTTAGGCATGAAAGCCACCTCAGGGTTGTTGTTGGAAAATTAGGAGGATGAAAGAGTATTAGGTATGTTTACTACCTTGAGTTATTTATAAAAATAAAAAAAGATAAAAATAAAGTTATTTATAAAAATAATAAAGGATAAAAAAATCTAAAAAAATAAATAGGTGCTATATAAATCAGCAAATTAGGGTTTATTTGGAATCATAAAGGGGTACTCTTACAATACTAGACAACACAGTATCAACAGTAGAGACCTTCTAGGTTCTATCACAAGACCTAAAATGGACACCTAACATCAAAAACGTCATCAAAAAAGCACAACAAAGAATGTTCTTTCTGTGCCAACTCAGAAAGTTCAAACTGCCCAAGGAGCTGCTGATACAGTTCTACAGAGAAATCATTGACTCTGTCATCTGCACCGCTATAACTGTCTGGTTTGGTTCTGCAACCCAACAGGACAGACACCGACTTCAGAGGAAAATTAGGACTGCAGAAAAAAAAATTACTACCTGCCTGCCTTCAATTGAGGACCTGTATACTGCACCAGTCATAAAGAGGGCTGTGAAAATATTTACAGACCCCTCACATCCCAGACACAAACTGTTTCAACTCCTTCCCTCAAAACGATGCTATCGAGCACTGCACACCAGAACAACTAGACACAAGGACAGTTTTTTTTCCTGAATGCCATTACTCTGCTAAACAAATAATTCCCTCAACACTGTCCAACTATTTACAAAGTACCTTATGATTCTTGACTCTTGACGAATGTATCTTTTCTTTTATGTACACTGAGAGCATGTGCACCAAGACAAATTCCTTGTGTGTCCAATCACACTTAGCCAATAAAGAATTCTATTCTATTCTATTCTATTCTATTCTATTCTATTCTATTCTAT